ACCTTACACATTGTCTAAGAGTCAGATATGTGACCACCAAGAAGTGAGCTGATGGTCTAAAAGAGAGTTTAGCTATAATTCATTGTCACGGAGAACCTTAGGAGGTGAGTAACTGTTAGCAAATGACAACTGACAGCTCTGAAGATTTGATCAAGGAAAATCTGAAGGGGGCAGTACCAAGGCAAAGTGGACTACGATTCAATCTGCACTGGTTCTAGCTAGTCTGATTTCTGCCAGTGATTGTTTGTATTGACTTGGATACTTACCTCCTTCTCATCCTGCACAGTTGATTTATTTGTGAGAGGTGAATCTTGAAATAAATTATTTCAATCTCTGTAAATAGAATATATTTTTAAAATATTCTACCAATTTCTCAGATGCAATATTAATAGTAATACTTTATGGTACACAACATAACTTCCTGAAAGCATCAGAGATGAACTTGGAGGAGAGAAATGGTCTTGATTGAATTCCTCAAAGACTGAGAAGAATTGTAAAGAGCAAACTGTCAGGGAATCTTTTACCACTATGTGATGTTGGCTTATCAATTTTTTTTATTGTAAATTAGGAAAATAGTAAACAATACATTTTTCTTTTTTGTATATTTTAATTGAAATAGAATTACATCACTTTCTCGTTGACAGTCTTGTTTTCTTTGTGTATGTGTGTTCACATGTGTGCATTTGTGTGTCTATAAAACATGTTGAGTCCATTTTGCTGTTTGTGTGTATATATGATTTCAAGGCTGACACTCTGAATTGGACAACCAATAAAGGATCTCATATGCAGGAGAGATGAACTCTCCTTCTTTCAGCAGTTGTTAGTTGCCTGTAATTCCTTGTCTAGGGCTGGGGCTCTGTGAAAAATTTTCCCTTTCATTTTAGAATGTCTATTGGTATTGTGATTGTTCTTGCCTTGTTTATGAAGCCATTTTTAGGTAAGACTGTTTTACATCAGATTTCCTAGTACTCAGGCTCCTACAGTCTTTCCATATCCTCTTTCGTGATGCTCCCTGAGCTATCGGTGTGAGAGTTGTGATTTGGATGTATCCACAGGGGCTGGGATTCCCCAAGACACATTTATCTCTGCATTGTGTCTAGTTGTGATTTTCTGTTATTGTCTTCATTTGCTGTAAAGAAAAGCTTCATTGATTAATGGAGATAGCTACACTTATCTGTGAGTATAAGGATAAGATTTAGAATGTAGTAAGAAACTGTGCTTTCCAATATTTATCGCTGCCTTATTCCTAATAGCCAGGAAATGGAAACAACCTAAATATCCTCCGATGGATGAATGGGTGATGAAAATATGGTACATATGTGCCCTGGCCAGCAGAGCTTCAACGGGAACTCGACCACCCTAAGGACGGAATGATAGGGACAGGAGACACAAAGAAAATACACCAAGACAATATTCTGATCAAGGTGCAACTTTATTTTTCTCCAGGAGGGTTTATATAGTTCCTGCAGGGTCGGGGGAGCAGGAAGCTGTTATCTGCATAGGGTGGCACAAGCTAACAGGATGTTTATGTAGGATGTACAGGGTGAAAGGGTCAAGGGCTCTGACTCAATATCCTGTTGCTAGGCAACCTGACT